AAGCATTCCAGGAAAAATCTACGCTGTCTCTGTTTGATGTTTTACAGGTTGGGGAAACGTAACCGTAACAGTCAGCCAGGTTCTGAGGTCTGGTCCAGGAGTGTTTCTGTTTCAGATGCTAAACCAGCCTGCATAGATGTTCCTCTGAGATGTTTATTCCAGGATGATCTCAGCAGAGCAGCGCTGCTGGAGTTCAGGAAGCTCAGAGTCAGAGAGGAAGGAACCATCTGCAGCAGCTCCTCACTGCTCTGCTGGATGGTTTAGGTTATTTCCACAGTAGCAGTCAGTGGGAGAGGTTTTCAAACTCACAACCTCAGGAAAGCTAAGCTCAGACCGCCTGCCCTGATGGGCAGCCTGCAGCGCCTCAGACCTACGAGGCACAGATGGAGAAATGTCCCAATGTGACCCAGCAGGATGCTCAGCCAGACAGCTGCTGTTAGAATAATGGAAACGCAGCCGAGGGATTAATAAGAATATAAGTAGAAAATCTAAATCGTATTAAGTTGTTCGGCTGACGAAGGTGGAACCAGAGTTTCACCTTTTAAGATGATTGTTCCACTTTTAACATGGAACTTTAATACAATAATCCAACATGTATGTAAGAGCTTAAAGTCCCGCCTCCCTGATCCGCCGCTGACCTGCAAACCAGCCGCTTAGTCACAGAGACACCATGGAGGTCCAGAACCGGGCCTCAGCAGAACCAGGCCTCAGCAGAACCAGGCCTCAGGAGAACCGGGCCTCAGCAGAACCGGACCTCAGCAGAACCGGACCTCAGCAGAACCGGACCTCAGCAGAACCGGGCCACAGCAGAACCGGGCCTCAGCAGAACCGGGCCTCAGCAGAACCGGGCCTCAGCAGAACCGGATCTCAGGAGAACCGGGCCTGGAGTGGACCAGAGGTTTCTTACTGCATCACTAACATCCATTAGATGCTGCTTCACTTTAAAGCAGAGAGAAGAACAGAAGTAATATTTGATCATAAAGGATCAAAGCCTCGTTCTAAAGTCGCCTCAGAAATAAATCGACGTTTTTAAAGAGATGTCGTCTAAAAACTGTCCTGCAGGCAGGACAGTTTCCAGGTGTTTCCAGGTGAACGTCCTTCCATTCATAACCAAACCTTTTATTTTCTGATCTTTCTATTTTACTGAGGACTTTTCAGGGATTCCTGCGTTTTAGACGTCGATGGATGTTACTGGAAATAAGCTCCTTATGAAAACCAGTAAGAGTAACTGGTTGTTCCTCAGAGTTTAAACACGCTGAGATGGACAGCTTTGCTATTTGCTCGTTTCATCTTCAGATGCAGCTCCCAGCAGAAGCTCTGACCTCACGCTGGTCGCCTTTAATGACAGCAGCGGTTGTCGCAGCAACGCGGCGGCAGCGTAGATATGAATCCAGGGTAATTATCTCAGCGTGGGTCTCTGTGTCTGACAGCGCCGACCTATTTCTGCGAGGATGGATCCAGACTGAGCGGCTCTGAATCAGACCAGAACCATCAGACCAGAGCAGACGCACCGGATCAGAAAATCCCGTTTAACCGACGGTAGAAAGAAGCATTTATAACTTTAGGAAGAGGAAATGCATTAAAGGAAAATCACAAGAAAAACTAATAATAAAGCCAATAAATCAGCTCAGAGGTAAACAGCAGGACAGGAAGAGGAAACAGGAAGCAGTTCCTCTCTGAGCGCAGCGAGGTGGAGAGGAAGCACAGCAGCAGACATTCCCAACATTTGCTCCATTCCTGAATTTACTGGATTTAAATCCTGGAAGTTTGAGGAAAAACGATCATCCAGGTTTGTTTGATTGATCAGATTAAGCAGAGACCTGATTAAAAGGCCAGCAGCTGCAGCAGATTAAAGACTTTCAACACCAGAGGATTCTGCTGGAAGGTTCTGCTGGTCGAACAGGAAATCAATCCTCTGGACTTTGTTTCCAAGTTTGAAGACGTTTCTCTTCCATCCAGGAAGATTTTTCAATCCAAAATGTCAGAAATAGCGTTTAGTTCCAGGTTTTATCCAGCAGCCCAACAAAGCCTGGTTTTAGTTTAGAAAACATGCAAATAGAAACGGATGAACGGTTCCCCCCCTTTGGAATGGGACTATGAATCCATTCCAGATAAATGCAGAGAAGGAACCAAAACATGGATGAACTAAATGTTCTTCAGCTGAATCAGTTTCTGGACCAAAGGTAGAACGTTTCAACGTTAGCATCCAGCTTCAGCTAATCCAGCTAGAAGCAGCAACCAGGATCTAGATCTGGACCTTCAGAGGCTCAGAGAGACAGGAAGACAGGTGTGAACAGAGGTCAGAGGTCAATGTTATGCTCTAAGCTAATTGTTTGCAGGCTATTGTCCACAGGTGGAGCCCCCGTCCTTCTGCATGTCTGATGTCATCAGGAAACTGATGACTCGGTCTTTTCTTTAAAGAGTGTTGCTGATGGCAGCGGGGGGAAGATGACGGATGGCGCCGCTGCTGACTCAGTTTCTCTCAGATTTCATTAAGCTTCCTAACAGGAAGCAGCTAATGAGGCGGGCTGCTCTCATTATGACGGGGAAGAACACACACATTCGTTATCCTAATCATGCAATCACGGTCAGCGCCCTGAGGAGTCAGAACCCCCACATCTCCATTCATCAGCGTCAGCGTGGAGATCATCACCATCCTCCAGACGTCTCTGAACATGCAGGCTGAGAGGAAACGGCGCTCGTTAGACGATCTAATCTGTAGATGATGCGGCCTTTACTCTGATTGGTCGCACGCTTTTCATCATGAACCCAGAGAACGCCTGCAGCACCTTAACTTTCCGCTCCTTCCTCCCTCTGATGAGTCTCAGCTGTTCCTTCCTCAGCAGGTGGAAACTCGCCGTATTCTGGGATGATTTTAGGAACGAGCCACAGAGAGAAGCAGCTGAAGGTTAATCTGCAGCTCTGCTGCTGAGCGTTGGACAAACAGCAGCTGCTGGTGTTTGGTTTGGACCTTCTGGAGCAGAACCAACAGGAACCTGTTTGATGTCCCAGAACCCTGAACCTTCGTCACGCTGCCACCGACTCGTCCTGAAGGACCTGAACCACGAGTTCCTTCAACAGAACTGAGAAACGGATCAGAACGTCACAGGAAACAGGAATATTCCTCATCGCCACATGAGGCCCTGCTGGTTTCTGCTGCTTCATGTCAGGTTTAGGCAGATTAAGGCTGCGGCACGGCGGCATGCTGCGGGCCGGTTCTGTTCCTTAAACACCAGAAACATCTGGATCGTCCAAGAACGCGTCGCCTTCACCTCCTGCAAGCAGAGGACTGGGACCGACGGGGAACCGGATCAAACCGGAGCTCAGAAATATCCCGCCAGACTGTGATTGGTTCCCACAGCGGCCCACTGGCGCCCGCAGCATGATGAGGCCACCACCATGCCTCACTGATGCCTCGTCCGTTTTCAGCTTCAAACATGAGGCTCCACAGGTTTACATCACAGAAGAGACGATGACCTCATGGATGGTCAGAGTGATGAGAACCAATCAGAACGGCCCTTTGTTCAGGTCAGCAGGTTCCTGCCTTCATGAGGTTCCTGGAACATCCCTGCTTTATCTTCTAGATGGAAGAACGTCAGTATTTTCCCCCAGAGGACCCAGACCAGCCGGCAGCCCTACTTGGACCCAGCGGAACCGACCTGGCGCCGGCGGCCATGTTGGATCCAAACAGTATTTCTGTGTTTCATCTCAGAGTTTAAAGTTATTCCTTTTACTTCCTTTCAGATTATAATCCTGGTTTCTAATCTCTGAGCTGGTTTTCTGAACCAGAAGCAGACCTGGAGATGGTTTCTGTGGTTAAACGATAGCGGGTCAGCCTCAGGTGGCGAGGAGCAGCTGGAACGCTTCAGGCGCCTCAGTCTGAAAACACAGATCTATTTTATTTATCGAACTTCATGTCTTCCTGATCCGGATTCTGCCAGGATTCCTAATCCATCCAGGAGCTTAAGGAAGCAACACGGCATTATTCTGGCGTTTTCCTCTCTGAGGCGCCAGCTGTTGACCTTGGGGTCGACCTGGGGTCACGCCCGTTTAGATCAGAGTCTCTGTTCCTGTTGATAAAAGCCGTTCATGAGCAGCGTCACACATAAACCTTCCTGCCGGTCTCCTCACCTAGGACGCTGAGTTCCGCCTGCGCCGTGATGTTCTGGTTCTTGTTGGACGCCGTGCAGCTGTAGGAGCCGGAGTCGTCGTCCGTGACGGTTCTGATGATCAGGTTGCTTCCCGCCAGCAGAGAGAACTTCTTGTTCCTGCAGAGAAAGAAGAAGCTGATCAATCATTTCCTAATGAAGTCTGTTTGAAGAACAGAGACAGCAGCCTGCTAGCCACACCGCTACCGTTTAGCTGGGGAGTTTACTTTGACTAGGCCAAAGGCTGCTTAGCCTCCTGCAAACATCGCCCCCTGCAGGATCATTGAACCCAACTTTCATTTCTGATTTAGGTAAAAATATTTTACTGTGAAAAGTTTAAACTTTTATTTTAATTTAAAAGTCTGGTTTTACTAAAGTTTAATGACAGAGTCAGACTTTTATTCTATTATAATAATGTAGAAAAACTTCTGCAATGATTTTACTCATGAGAGACGGAAGATGTAAGAACAACAGATGCGTCTTCAGTGCAGAACG